CACCAGCCATGGGCCTGGTACTGAGCTCCTGCCCGGAGCCACCACACACAGCAAGAGGCTGCAGAGCCCCGGCGCTCCCTGCACAGCGGGATGAACATGCCAGTGCACTGGGACCAACACACTGCGAGAAGCCGGGTCCGGGCTTTGGCCAGGGTGGCGGTGGCTGACAGTGACCGGGCATTGGGGTCCACTCTCCCCATTGTCCCTTTCCATGAAAGGCTAAAGGGTCCCTGGGGGACAAGCCCCAACCCAGCCCTGCTCTGGGGGCCCTGCACTGTGGTGGGGTCTGGGCCAAAGCTGCCACCTCCCCTCAGCTGCTCTTACAAGATTTAATTAAGGCACCTGCTACAACTATTTCAGCAAATTAGTTCCCACTGGAGAAATGTTGGGCACACACTACAGTTTGCATCGCAAGGTGGGGAGCCTCCTTGGGATAGATGCAGGAAGCAGAGCCTTGATCATCTGTGCTTGGGGGGGGGACAAGACACAAACCACAGAAAACAAAGTCACAAATTTGAAATTCATGCCATTTTCCCCATTTTAACTCCATGCGCATTTTTGCCCCCGGGACTCACAGGTTGTCAGTAAACAGCAGCTTAGAAGAAGGGCCCAGAGGCACTTGGAGAAACGACTATCATATGCAAAAGTTTTCAGAGTAAATTCTCCAGCAGGCAAGCACCCGCGCGTGGTGAGAGCAGAAATAAAGTACTTCTGTCATTTTTTTAATAACAACGGTACCTGTTTGGGTCCCAGAGGCAGCTCATTTACATGCAAATGCTGAGCCCGGGGTAACTGTGTCACCGTGGCTGAGTTGTTTGTTTTTAATGACAAACTCTTCTGCGGTCCATGTGGGAGGGAGCCACACACCGCAGAGGGGTTATTTCTGCGCTCAGCAGCCTTCGGATCCCGGGAAGGGGCTGACAGCTCAGTCACGGCTGCTTCGGGGGCGAGGAGCAACTTTGGCAGCCCCAGGCGGCAGAGCTGACATGGCCAGCGGGGTTTCAGCAAAAGTGACGAGGGCAGGCGGGGCCGGCGACGCAGACTAGAGCAGAGCACCAGCTCTGCCCCAGCATGATGGGGTCCCAGCATGTGTGCCCCCTGTGCCTGACGGCTGCTCTGCCTGCACCCCACAGCAGGCAAAGTACTGGCCTGAGCCACTCTCCTCTGAGCTGGGGCTGGGACTCACCCTGCTCCTCAACCCGCTCCCACACCCCGACTGCAGTCGGGACAAGGACAGGGCTCAGCCCGATCCCACAGACCCTCAGGGCAGCCAAGGCCCCCAGACGGCCAGCGAGGACCTCTCCCCTGTTTTCCACTGGGGTGTAGCTGAACAGGGAGCCAGGGCACAGCCTGCAGCGTGAGCCGCTGGTGCAGCCTGCAGAACAGCCGGTTCAGTCAGGGGCGAATCACTGAACTGCACAACAGCAGCAGCAACAGATAC